CCATTTTCAATTTCAATTCCTCAACAATTTTTCAACAGATGTAAGAAACATGCTGCATAAACTTAAGCTTATTGACAAAAGATTTTATTTCCTAGTTGCCTCATGGAGCTCCAGAGACTGCTCTTCATAAGTTTATAGACTGAAAGTTGAAAAATTGTTTCACTAGGAGTAAATTTGCAGTAACTACACTCACTTATGGAAGAATAATTTGCCAGATTTGCTTGAAGTACTGTATATCTTCAGATAACAACAACTTCAGTCCAGGAAAAAGAGAACACAATAATAGGCTTCAAATATATAAAACAATTATTAAAATTGTTACAATAACGAAAACATTTTAATTTTAGCTAGAGATTCAGAGCAGAATACACTATTAACCCTAAAACCTTTGAAGAAGCTGTAGAATTCTCATTTTTGGGGATCTAAGGATTTGTGGAAGAGGAGGAAAGAAAACATGAGTAATCATCCCAAATCTTACTATTCCTTTGTTTCAGAGTAATGCAGTAGCTGACTGCTAGAAGTCCTTTTCAGCCTTGCAGTACTTGACATCCCTACAGTACTTGGCATTACCACCACACTTTTGTGGTTTCATTAATAAGAAAAAAAGTTGTAACTCCCCCATTAAGAGTACAAAATAATTAAATGTCAAGGCATTCTCACAACAGAAGAATCTGTTTCATAGTGCTAATACAACTCAGCTAGCAGCTTTACTCTCATTTCAACAGAAATATATTCTGCATCTCCCTTGCTTGTTAGTAAAGGAGGATGTTTTTATCTTATTCCATCAGGTAGCTGTAGATGTATTCATGAGACTTGCTCTATTTTTCAGCTTATCCTGCTCCATCCTGAATGTCTATGACGTGGAGTTATTTGTGTAGCACACATGCAGTGCAAATAATTCCAAAATATGTAACAGTTTAAGAGAATTTCAGAATTATGCTTAATAATAATTTCACTACTGAGGAAATAAACACCAAGTTACATGCTTATGCCTACCACAGCCACCCAGTGTACAGCAAGGAGTCAGCACCAACACTTTTCAGTGAAATTAATGAAGGTGGACTCCAATATCCAGCTCATGCATTAGCAGGATGAGAGAGTTTCACATTCAACCCCGACCTTTTAAGAAGTTATTCGTGTAGTAATTACTGAAAGAAAAGCAATCTTACTGCTGCATCAGGTATGGGGCGGTTTCTCCCTCAATACGCTCTGTTCGCAGGCAAGGAAAACAGATGTTCCTACCTGGAAGACCTCACGTCTGAGAACAGCCGGTGCTGGAGCCACGAGCATCCCTAAAGTCAACCCTCAGCGCAGGGCTGGGGCAGCGCTCAGTCTTCGAGCGCTTCCCGGGAGCGGGGACCAAGCTGTCACAGACGCGTGGCCACCGGTCTTCATGCTTATAAAAACGTACTAAACACCGGCACCCACGCAGAGGTGTCACGGCGCGGTCTGTCCGTCCTGGCACCGGGGCCACGGGCGGGGGAAGCGCGGGACGCGCCCGCTCCCACCGCGGGACGCATCTCCCCGGGTCCCCGGGCGAGGGGCTGCTCACCCCAGCCTGTCCCGCCGCCCCGCTCCCCTCGTGGCACGACCCTCCACACCAAGGGCTGGAGCCCGCTTTAACCGGAGGGAGGGGGAACGCGGGGCTGGGGTACTCACATGCCAGATGGCGAAGAAGATGAGGGCGGCGCAGAGCACCAGCGACAGCATGTAGCAGAAGGCGGCGAAGGTGAAGGCCATGGCGGGGAGAGCCTTCCGCGCCCCCCTGCACCTTCACTTCACCGGGAGAGCGACGACCTCCCGAGCTCCCGGCGCGGCGCAGTGCCCGGGCAGCGCCGCACACGCCGCGGGGCCGGGCGGCCGCCGCGCCCCCACAGCCGCTGCCGCTCCGCCGAGCCCGCCCAGACCCCCGCAACGCCCCGGGGCCGGGACGCCCCGCCCGGCCCCTCCGCCGCGCTCCCGCCCCGCCGAGGAGCCGCGGTGGGCGGCCCCGAGGGGCGGGTTCCCTCTGTGGAGGTGCGGCGGGTGGTGGGGGCTCGGCAGTGCGGGGCTGCCGAGGGGCTCCTGATGCCACTCGGGCAGCGGCTGCTGCCAGCGCCGCGTGTTTCTGACTGAAATCCTGTCACGACAGCGTGAGAGGAAGGAGCGTAGTCTGGGATCAGATCAGGCCAAATGCTGAGAAGATAATTGTATTGCCTAAACTTGAAGTGCTTTGGTGGACGGGGTTTAATTATTGTTTTTCCTTTCAGGGTCAGGTAAATCCGATGAAACGCTCCCCAGGTCCGTGGAGAGGCCAGCCGTGGAGCGTCCATCCTCTGATGGAGAGGGGACAGGGACGCAGCCCAAGGTCTCGTGAACCGCCGCAGAGTAGCTCAGTAAAGTGAAATCAGTCCACCCTTTCCCACTGGGTGAAAAAGAAATTTACTGTTGGAGTAAATAAAGACAAGCCTTTCTTAAATGCCATCAACTGGGAGAGTGCTCTTGCTGGCTTTCAGGTATATGCAGTACCCAAATTGCTGAAGCACACATTTAAAACAAGGAAGGAGGGAAGGAAGGATAAGTTCCTGCCTTTGCACCTTGTCTTTAACAGCATCCACAGTGTCTCCAGACACAACTTAGCCATTTCTACAAGAGATCTGTTTTAGATTTACTATCAAAAGTTTTTCCACTTCTTTAAAGTGCATCAGCTGATGGAATACAGGAGGTTTGCAAGCGAAAAGTTTTCAGGAGAAAATGCCACAGAACCATCAGAATTCCCATTTAAAAATATTTTGAAAACCATAGATGAAAGCTATACATTTGAGACTTCCTTACAAAACTGAAAAAGAGTTTCAGCTCACAGCATTTGTTCTATCCTTGTATGGATTGAAGGCAGTTCAGTAACAAAACTATGTAGAAATTTGCCAGTGGTTACCTGTTAAAGTCAGACTTCATGGTACAGGGGATTGTAATTCGATCAAAGCCAAGTCCAGTGGAAGCTTTCTTTTGAAATGTTTACAATATATTCTTGTTTAAAAGTATGGTATATTATTTTTAACATAATATGCACTTTTATCCTGAGGAAAGAGTGCTGATTTGAATCAAGAATCAAGACCAGTAATTAATAAACCAATCAGAAATAAACTGATGGATCTAACCTTTCATAATTGAGCTGCTCCAGACTGTACGTGTGAACTGATGCTTTAATTAAGAAGGACAGAACACAGCAAGTAGTAATGAGCTTTGTGTCATAAAGGGGTGCAGTAAACCCATTGTAATTCTCTGACCTTTTAATTTTTTTGTGTCTGAAATCCTGCAGAGCATATGTTTGTGGAAGTAAATGGTTTATTCATAACCACACATTTTGAAAAGAGTAGTAAATGAGGTACAGGAGTCGTGCTTGGAAATATTTATTTATTTTGCCACAGTTACTTCAGTATCTGGATATATATTGCCTATGTTAAGATTCAGTACAGAAAAACTGATGCTTCTAAGGAAATGAAAATAAAATATTTCATTCAGGAGTACTTATATGTATACACCTGCACATAGATGCACATCTATGAAAAATATAAATATACTCTAGCTATCATGAAAGACAGAAGTGGAAACAACCATTAAATGTCAGTTTAGCACCACACTCCAAGGTAAATATTCTGCTGTTTTTCACTGTCTCTCACCTACATTCCAGCTCTTCATCGAACACACAGGCAAAACACGTATTTTTCATTTTGCGAGACAGTTCCATAGCCAAAGGCTTCCAAGATCACACAGTCTTTCCTGGTACTGATTTTGAAACATACATTGCCCCTGGCCATATTGCTAGCCATTAATCATTGCCAGTGGCTGTCAAATTACAAAAGTTTCTGACATACAGTGAAAGGAAAAAAATCTATAAAGATGCATTTAGGACACTTTTGTCTTATTAAGTTCTTCTTATATAACACCATGAGAATACCTTAAATATCCTCAGGCGTTTAAGTGATGGAGAGTGATGGAAAGATATACCCTTCACTCAGTACATCTCTGATTTGTACTCAGAGATTTGTCTGAGTAATCACTAAAAAGTCTTCCTTATATCCATCTTGTTACAAACTCATTACAGCTCTCTGTGGTATGAGGACCTCACAGCAGGGTGAGGTTCCTTTGTCATTTATGAATGTGTCCTGGTTAGAACGGCTGGGACCAATTCATCCCTGGATGGGTGTA